AAAAGAAGCATCCACCGTTTTATTTGCAGGACAATTACGTGGTCGATGGTGTTATGTCAATGAAATGATTTCAGCAGCATTGTTGCCTATGATTGTGTGATCAATTGCTCCTACTATGCCTATAAAGTTACCTTGTCCTCTTCATTCTGAGATGACACTCCAACTAATATGCCCTGCCCTGATTGGACTGTAGATTCTCCCTCTTCTGGTGAAGACGACTTAATTCACTACTGTTCATGATATTTGGCAGCGTTACTTTTAATTTTTGGCTGTAGCGTTGTTTTTAAGTGTCTTTTTATTTTAGAAATTTATTTATTTATTTTTTAAATTTATTTTTGATATAATATATTAAAAAATTCAAATTAATTGTTAAAAAAATTCAAATTTTTTTAAAAACACAAAACAACCTCTCATCTCTGCCCACTACTGCTTAACACACATGAACAAAACCTAAGCCACCTAAAATGCATGTGCTATACATATTGATTGATAGATTTAATTTTAAAAGTGATATGATAAGTTAAGGATGTGATGGGATTAGGGATGAGAATGAATAACCTCATAGTATTATTTAATATAAATATTAAACTTATAAAACCTTTTTTTTGTGTGGTAAGAACAGGTGATTAAAATTTATTTATCAATTAGTTATAGCCTAATCCTTAAAATTTATGAATATATCCATGTAACATAAAAATAATTAAATATTATTTTCACCTCCTAATTTTTTGTTCAAAAAAATCATTTTTTTCTTGTTAACTCTTCTTGATTTATCTATTTTCTTTCTTTTTATTTAAAAGGAATAAAAAAAATAAAAAGAAAAACAACATCCTTAAGAACTAAGTCATGAATGGTATAATTATAGGGGTCAAATATATAATTTTTGAAACTATAAAGACTAAGTAATTTATTTTACTAATTATAATTAACTCTTATTTAGCCAAAGTACCTGGTCAGTTCTTTGCCAAGCAATCAATCAATAATGTGAACCGAATTATTTCCTTGTCAAATTAGAATTGCGAAAGAAATCAATGGCTTAACTTTAGTAATAACCACACGAAAAGAATTGCTTGTAAATATCACTCGTTTTGGAAGGAGCTTGAAAATTTTAAATGAGCATAGTCATAATTCTTCAATAATTATAAATTATTTTCGTTTAAAGTTTATTTATTTTTGTATTTTAATTAATTTTCTTGTGTTATGATATTATAAATAATTTTTTTAAAAAAAAACTACCAAATTAAGAAGATCAATCAAACTAGCTTGATGTTGAACAGTGAGGATTTGGCCTCCTAGTCTGCAAGACATGCATGAAGAGTATTTTGGAATTTGTTGGCGGGTCTCTAGGAAGACGTGTCAGGACATCGCACGCCATTCAGTGCAACAAAACACGGTAGTATTGACTTATCCGCTGTGTCGCTGCCTAAAAAGCCTCAAACACACAGTTACGAAAGCGTGTGGACCTCTCTTCGGGAACAGAGATGGCGTGTTTTAGGAGTTTAGTACGGCGGCTCCGTCAGCTGCGCAACCATTATTTTAAAGATATATTAAAATTTATTTTTAATATAAAAATTTCAAAATTATCTGAAATAATAATTTAAAGTATAAAAAAATAAATAAATATTCAATTTTTAAAAAAAATATTTTTAAAAAAACAAATAAAATATGAGAAACATGTTTATTTTATTATCTTATTTATAATTAAACACATTTATATCTATCATTTCTACCATGAAACATTAAGAAAGCATAACTTTAATTAATTCTCTGGATGCTTGATTATTATTATTTTAAAAAAATTCTGGTTTCCAAATATTTTTTAATTAAATTTTAAATATACCATTCAAGCTTATTGAGAAAAGAGAGAGGGAAATAGAAAAAAAAAAGAAGAAGAAGAAGGGCTGAATTGGAAAAAGAAAGAAAGAAGCTTTACTGAGAAAAGAGCGAGTGAAACTCCAGAATTTTATTTATTTATTTATTTATTTATTTTTATTTTTTATAATATTGCCTCACCTAAAATATGGTGATGTCCTAATCCATTCATATTATATTTGGGTCACGTAGCCATAGTAAGTGGCAGCGTTATGCCCGCGTTCGAGCTTTCTTATTATTAGCTAAAGGCAAATCCAGGATTCTGGACATTGACTAATTGACAAAAAGCCTTTGGAATATATTGTTAAAATTAATTGCCAATACAATAATTTTTTTTCCCCTTCCAATCTTTCCTAGTTACAAGGATAATATATGATCTTCTGAAATGTTATGTTGTGTGTGATCCGTACAATATAATAATGAAACGACTATATTATAATTATTTTTTAAAATTAAAAATTTAATGGTTATTATAATGACTACAGTGAACTAATTAGAGTAAATATAACACAAAGAATTAGATAAAAAATGTAATTTTTATTTTATTTTAATCACAAATGATCAATATATATATATATATATATATTATTTTTTTGTCTTCTAAAGAATGTAGTTTTTGTTCTATCTCAACCATAAATAATCATTGAAAGAGATTATTTAAGACACCGTATGCTATAATGATATTTTAAAACTTTCTCACCTTGTTTTAAAAATTAAAAGAGTGGAATTTTTTGATAAACCTAGCGTTTTTTTTTTTTTTTTTGCAAAGTCTAATAAAGATATGCTGTGATAAATAGTTATAAACTAAAGGATACTAAGTGAAATTAAAAAATATATATATATAGATAGATAGCGTGTCGTAATATTAAAAAATAGGATAAAAAAGTACTAAGACTAGAATGGTATAGTGTCCTATTTGTATAAGATTTATTAACTTCTGTTCATGTCATATAAGCATTATCCTACATAATATACTCAATTTGGTGTGGGCGAGAAACAAATTTGTAACAAGCCGTTCAATAATATAAAATAAGTGAAGACAACATTGTAGGAGGGACATTTCTGTAAAATAAGTCGCATCCCTTCTTGCCCTACAACGATGCTTCCCCCTACTTTTCCTTTGGGCCAATTGACAACTACTCCTAACCTTTATTCTATTTCGTCCCCATTTATATATGCACTCTGAATTTCAAGTTCTAGCACTTTTCAAAAACCTTCATATAATTTTTTATTTTATGTTATATATTTATTTTTGTTTTTCAAAAAAAATTTAAAAATATTTTTTTATTTTTTTCTTTGCTTTAAATAAATATTTTTTTATTTTCAGATCATTTTAATTTACTAATTTCAAAAATAATTTTAAAAAAACAATAATATTATCTTAATGTATTTATAAATAAAAAACACTTTAAAAAGTAATTGCAACGCTTCCAAACACTCCCTAACTTTATCATCAATAATATTCTTTAACTAGTTTTTATTGAATTGAGTACATGATTTTTTTTTGTTTCTTTAATAAGTAAAGATTATATTTATTAGCATTCAAAATAAAAAAAAAAACATAAAGAGACATAAACAAAATTTATTTTAAAAATATTTTAAAATAAAAGTATACAAAAAATATTTTTATCTTCAAACATTAACTAAACCTTACTAAAAAAAACTATTTCCTCACGGATGAAAACACTTGCAACATCATATATGATATCATTCAACCATTGATTTCTCATAAAGAGTCTTTAATTTTGTGCTTAGGTTTGATAGGAAGGCAATTCAACCAAGATTATGTTTTCCCTAGAATTTAGCCTCTTTTTTTTTTCATTTGGTCATGATGAGTTTTTAACATGAAATAGTTTTAACAAGTCTTTATTTATGTATGATGATAGGTTCAGTTCAATCTTTTGATGAATCATTTGGCCAAATCAGGTTAGCTCATGCATGAGTCTGATTTAAGTGGCAAAGTAGACATGTTGAGAGCTTGTATCAAGTTTAGTTTGAGTTATATTAATGAGTATGAGTTTGGATTACATGGGGTTTGAAATTGGCTTGTACTACTTAAGATGCGGGATACTTTTCTTATAAGAATTAACAAAGTATTTTTTAAAGGAAAATTCATTAATAACTATTCTTATTATTTAAAAGAATATTTAGCAAAAAAAGAAGAAAGTTTCACAATAATACAAGGAAACCAAGCGTTGTTAGATTTGAATTCTAGAATTGGATGGATTATTTAATACTAAAAATTTAATTCTTCTAATTAAAGTAGAAAAGTAATTGGCAGCTATAAAAAAAATTTAATTTCTAATAATATTTTTCATGTTCCAAAAGAAAATTATAATCTTACAAAGAAAGAAGACTTTACCAATTAAATTCATATTTAGATCAATTTTTCTTGTTTAAAGAACTTTAAAAATTAGCTAATCAATCCTAGAGTATCTACTTGTTTAAAGAACTTTAAAATTAGCTAATCAATCCTAGAGTATCTAGAAAGGTGGACCTCATCCAAAAATTATTTAAACCATGAGAATTAAGACATTTTATATTGTTATTATTTATTATTATACATAGCAATAACAAGTTATTGTTTAAATTTGTTGTTTTCACTGTTATTTTCATGTTTCAACTTAATTAATATTTTGGTTTTTAGTTAAGATTTAGAGTCTAGGTTTATTAGTAAATGTTTTGGGTTATTTTTTGTAAGTGAATCAATTTAATTCACAATAATTAATCCATTAAGATTGATTTCTCATAATTATTTAAACACATATATAAAATCTAAATTTCAAAAAACCTTTGATGAATAATATTTTTTAATTTAATATATGAGATATTTTTATATTTTTTGGTTCTTGAACAAACCAAATCTTGCAATAAGTGTTTATTATATTATATTTATATCAGACGTTTTAAAAAATTTCAAGATTAGATTTTAATCTTAATTATAAGATTTGTGGACATATAATTATAAGATTCGCATTAACATAACTTCCAATTAATCTTATCATGCATATAGTAATAATTAAAAAGATTAAAAAAATTTAATTATCATTCAAAATAATTAATTTTCAAACCCAACAATCCATTCCTTTCTGTATCTAAAATTAAATCATTCTATATTCAAATCATAATAGAAAATATAAGGAGGAGAAAATTCAATAAAAAGATTTCTTTCGTTATATACAAGTCAAAAGTCAAACATAACCTCAAGCGGCGCTCCTATCCACAAGGACCCACACCGCCACATGAGAACAAAACTGCCACTCAAGCGACTGGCTATCGCCGCCGGTTTTCTCAGTAAGACAATCGCCACGTGGTTACTTCCTCATCCAACCGGGTCAAGAATTGCCTGCCACCTCTGATTTTAACACCGAGTTTGCTGAGGCGTCGACTCATCCCTCCCTTGCTCAATATCAAACTCGGTCGTCCCTGACCCACCACCGCAGCTCACTGAGTTAGCCACGGTTGGAGACACAGTACCTCTTCTTTCCCTACTTAGCATCCTCTTAAACGACAACATACGACTCATTGGCGATCTGAAAGAGTGACTTGCTGATGGTGACTCGGTACTTGACTCGTCCTCGAAATTCCCATTTCTCCTTGGGACGTCTATGGTCACACCAATAAGCCCACCAGGTTTCCTTCCACCATTAAACGACGACGTAGAAGACGATCCCAGATGATCCTCCTCGTGCTGGCACGAGGTACACAGACCCGAACCCGCTTCTGAAATCCCGAAATTTGAACCTTCTGGAACGGGGTTTTCCTCCACCGGCTCAACCGGAGAGCGACAAAGAGGGCAAGTGGAGTGAGAATGAAACCACATATCGATACACTCGGTGTGGAAACTGTGGTTACACTTGGGCAAGACCCGACCCCTTTCGTTCTCTTCTAATTCGGATAAACAAACCGCACACTCAATCGAATCTTGGTGGGTTTTTCTTGAATATACAAAAACAGGAAGAGAATTTTTGACAGTCTCTTCAAGGCCACGCGTGACATGAGAGGTGACATTGTTGGGGTTTTGGGCGGAGTCGACGTAGAAGACAAGATGCGTACGGCGGTTGCGGGCTCGGCGGACTTGGCGCTGGCGTGCACGAGTGAGGTACCAACGAGCGTAGAGGTGGAGAAAAACCATTAGAATGATAACAAAGAAGAGAATAACAATAGCACTAAGCATTATCTTGCCACTTAATGCATAGCCTTCTCTGTACTCGGGTGGTGGATCTCTCGAGTCTGGGTTCATTTCTTGAATAAATGGACTCAATTTTGATTCTTGTGTGCTTAAGAGAAAGAGAAGGATAATGGGTTTGGTTTTAGCAATGAAGAGAGAAAAATGTTTTTGGAATTGGTATATGAAGGAAGGGGGAGAAATACTAATGAAGAGAGAGAGGAGGAGGAGGAAGGTTCCTGAGGGTTTCTTCTAGGTTTCAGTTCACACAAATGGAAGAAGAACGCCAGGGTTGACGAGGGCTTTTACTAGGAATTCTCTTTGTTGTCCTTCTATTAAAGCCCAATATTTCGTATTAATTTTCCTTTTTTTAATTAATATAAATATTTAAGTTAACTTGTCGAATCTTAACTAATTTTATAAATTTTAAAATTAATAATAATATAAATTTTTAATTATTTTAAAAAGACTCGAAATCATGAAATCATGATCATTCTAAAACAAATTAAAATCTTAATAATTAAGTTACATTAATTTTTATTTTATTCATTATTTTTAACTTAAATACATTGTTATAAAACCTTGCATGTTAATTTAATGACTCGAGGTTAACTCATTAATTTGAGATTTAATATAAATTTTTTTAAAAAAATGACAGTGTATAAACCTTTTATTTTGAAAATAAACTTGGTAGAGTTTCTTTATCTATGCATCCTGGGTTTAAAGCTTAGCGTGCATGTCTGTCATCCCTGCGGTGTCTTATTTAAAGCTTAGCGTGCATGCCTGTCATCTCTGCGGTGCCTTATCTATTTACTAGGCTTGCAAGATGTTTAGTAGGTCTGGAGATTAATCGTGGTGTGCATAAGCTGGCCCGGACACCCCAAATTATATATATAAAAAAAGAAATCTTAAAAATAAAACACTATTTTTAATCTATCCATCCAACCTATGAATTTTAAGTAATGATATTTGTCGTTTTTTTTTTCCCTCGGTGAAGATATTTACAATGAGGAGCGCAAGGATGTTCAATGATAATGCATAGAAATTGCATTCGCATTCACATGCATTCTGTGCGAAGGGAATGGAGAAGAGTATATAAGTTCGTGAAGGAAGAAGTGGTGAGTAAGCATTAATTTTTAATTTTTAATTTTTAATTTTAATTAATAAGAAGGGCTAATTCAAGATTTGGAATAAAAAAGATTAAAGAAAGGAGTATACCTCCTTAGCAATTAAGCTAATCCTAAGTATATATTTACAAGGAAAAACAAAAAAAAGTCCGAATAAGTTGCATTAGAAGAGCTGCCATCCTCACGGCACTGAATATACTTTTGACTCTTCTGAGTTTCAAACTGCCACGTGGGTTGGCAACTTGACTCTCTTGTATCATAAATGCAGAGAGCATTCAACGCAGCTAACCATACTCACGTGCATACTTGGAATAAACACACGAAAGAGAAAAGGATTAATTATTTGCTGGTTACACCTAAAATAATATACGTTGTTAATATATTCTTTATTATCTCTATAAATATTTTCTTTCCAGAAAAGGTGGTCAATAAGTCGTCCCCCTCTTATATAAATAAAGCATAAATACAAATTTGGGTTTTTTTAATTTGCTATTTGAGATTTTTTTTAACTCTCCCTTTTTGTTATGATCTTTTGAGTTTTTTGGTTTCCCTTGAATAATTCTATCCTTCAATATGATTCTTTTATTTTCTTTAGTATTTTAATATATAAATTTTTTTTCCTTTGAATTTATTCAATAAATAAGATTGCATTAAAACAACTTTAATATAATTTAATTTTTTTTTTTGAATTTATCCAATAAATAAGATCACATTAAAACAACTTTAATATAATTTAATTTAGAATCTAAATTAAGAAAATAATTGGGTCATGATTTTTTTAAATTTAAATTATTGGACCAAGTTTCATGATAATGCTGAAAAGTTTTTTTTTTTTGGTAATTTCACCTTACCTTTTTTTCTATTTTCCCTCATATTTTTTATAATTTCATCCTTTAATGTTTTTTAACGGTCATTAAAATAATTTTTGGATTTATTAACTCGACTAAATTTTATTGTGCAAGTTGCATTAAGAACATGGTCAATAAACTAGTTATCTTTTATAATAAATAAATTATGATTTTTAGTGTAAATTTAATGTCATGTGAATAATGAAACTTTTTTTTTTTGTAATTCCACCCTACTTTTTTTTTCTATTTCCTCTCATTTTCTTTATAATCTCATCCTTTAATATTTTTTAATAGTCATTAAAATAATTTTTAGACTTATCAACTCGATTGAATTATATTGGGATAACTCTCATGTAGTTTAATTAAAAACTCATGCTAAATAAAGAGTTGAAAAGTTTTTTTTTTTAATTTTATTATTTTTTTAAATTTAACCTCTTAATCTTTTTGAATTAACTAAATCAGATCATATTAAAACAACTCTTGTACAATTTAAATTTAAACTTAGATTAAGTAAATGAAAAGTTTTAAGATTGATATACTTAATTAAATTTAATAATAATATCAAATAATTTTCAACAACTGACAATTTAGATTTTTTTTTAAGAAAAAAATTAATCAGATGTAGGTAGCGTGTACCTGTAAACTATTATTCTTGAAGAGAAATAAATAGAGAAGTTGGGCTGTTATTAATAATGCCGCTGGGCTCACCCAAAAAGAATTGTTTTAACTAAGTTTGTAAATAGAGCTCATAAAGCCCACCTCCAAGGGAGTTTTGAAGTTGGATCCTCTTCCTACCATACCATTGGACCAGCACTTGTTTAATTTATTGTTATAAATTAATTACCTTCAAATTTATCCCTTCCATAGTGTCAATCTAATCATTTTTTTTTTAAAGTATAATGCCCTCACGTGATCAACTCCAGCCCAGTCTATTTATTTAAAAAGTTAATTTATTATTTAATAAATCATGTCCAGATTTAATAATAATATTAAATAATTTTCAACAACTCGACAACTTAGATTTTTTTTTGGTTATGTTAAGAAAAAAATTAATCAGTAGCTTGTACCTGTAAACTGTTATTCTTGAAGAGAAATAAATAGAGAAGTTGGGCTGTTATTAATAATGCCGCTGGGCTCACCCAAAAAGAATTGTTTTAACTAAGTTTGTAAATAGAGCTCATAAAGCCCACCTCCACGGGAGTTTTGAAGTTGGATCCCCTTCCTACCATACCATTGGACCAGCACTTGTTTAATTTATTGTTATAAATTAATTACCTTCAAATTTATCCCTTCCATAGTGTCAATCTAATCATTTTTTTTTAAAGTATAATGTCCTCACGTGATCAACTCCAGCCCAGTCTATTTATTTAAAAAGTTAATTTATTATTTAATAAATCATGTCAAATTTAAGTTCTTCGTACAAGAATATAAAATTATCAACTAAAATAATGGATTGGAGAATGATTTAACATATAAAAATATATTAAAAATTAAATCCCAAATCCAAGTACAGCTGAAAATAAATTAATGTTGTTGTTATTATTATTATTATTATTATTATTATTATTGAGTCGTGAGAAACTCAATGGTGCGTTGTAGAGTCCTTTCTTCTGCTCGTTTCCATTAATTACAAGTTGCCTTTGAAAAGATAAACAACGAAAATTATTTTTGCTCCTAAAGCTAAATTAGATGGGGACCATCTCGGGATATTTTAAGTTGCGTACTCAAGTTTGCAACGTTATTTGATGAAATTAAATCTATTCTTTTAATATATTTTAAATTTATTATAAATATTTTTTATTAATTTAAATAAAAATATCCCTATAAATTAGAAAAATATCTAAAATATAAAAATATGTTGAAATAATTAAATTTATAGAGATATATTAGAAGCTATGACATGGATGATTTCAATAGGGTTCAAAATAAGGGCTAAAAGCTTTTTCTTTATTTAAGTAAAAAAAAAATTTAAATATGACAAGTTATATTCTTCAATGAATTTTTTATTTTTATTTTTAATGATCAAAATAAATCTCTTTTAGCGAGGAGGATAATGAATTAAATTTGCAAGGTTTTCTTTTATTTAAATTTTGAAAAGTCTTTTGAAAGAAAATGAATTGATTTTTTTGTTACTTTGATTTTTTCATAATCTATTTTGACCCCTTAATTTCTCTAAAAATACATTCTCAACAAAACTCAATCAATTTTTATCATTTTATAATTTTCAGCATTTTTAATTATTTTTCTGTGTAACAAGGTAGAAAAAAGAAAAAGTGAAATAAGAGACAATAAAGAAAAAGGAAGCCGAGATGATTGGAACTAAAATATATAATGGAAGATCATACAAATGAAAAAAAATAAAAATAAATAAGAGACCCAAGTAGAATAAAAAAAGTTATAGAAAAATTCTACTTTAATAAGAAAATAAGAAAGCTTATTTTTATGAGTTTTATAATTTCTATAAGGATATTTAATAGAAAATAACAAAGTTCTTGAGAATTTTTTAATGTTTTAAAATCTTTTTTTTACATGGATTTTTTTATTTATCCTAGCCAAAATAACGGTTGAAGTATTTAATAGCGGATTACTTAGGTTTTTTGAGCCTATTTAAGCTTGTTTTATAAATAACTATATTTATTATTCGAGTTTTGTATTATTTTTATTGTTTTAGACTTGTTTTAGTTTTAATTTGAACTTTTACTTTAATTTGGGTCCATGACAATCCATTAGTCATTGTTTAGGGTTTATTAAATGTTTTGGGCTTAGTTTTTTATGGTTTTTTTTTTTTGAGCTTTAGATATATTAATCATTAATGTTATTACTGTTGTTTGATGAATCTATTTAAGTTGATTATTATTGTCAAGCTCTGAAGCCATAATATTTGGAATAAACTTATGTTTTTTTGTGATGTAACACTTTTCTCTTCACCGGAACAAATAATAAAATTGACTTATTAAGATATAACTGAACTTATGATGTCTTCCTTATACTTTTTATTAGCGATTTACTAACAATTGGCTTAGAGTTTCATTTCAATAGTGTTGATGTCTTGATTCAGATAATCATTTCATCATACTTTTTATTAAACTTGATTTTTGGCTTTCCAGGATTATTTTAATCTTACTTGTGGATTTCTGGATTTTTATATCCATAAGACTCATATCATAGGTGTTGTAAATGTCATATTAGAAATAAAAATTTATAAGAATTTTGATTGATTGGTATTTTTTCAATCTTATTATGTTGAGAAAATTCTTGAATTTTATTTTAAAGATGACAATAGTACTATCAAAACATCAATAAATATAAATGTATATTTATCCAAAAATAAAGGTAATAGAAT